GAAAACCTAAACGATTCACACCACATTCTGATGAGACCGCAGCGCGAGAAGATATTCGGCACTCGAATCAGCACTCAAAGCTCGAAAGAACTCATTTATTCTCCATCCCTATCCGCTTCGGGAGCTTCCGAGCATTAATAATTTCAGCTTCCACAGGTCATCCTTGACATTCTTGAATTGTTTCCCTCGATCCCAATCATCATAGTAAGCGATTTTTCCGGTGTCAATGGCTCGCTCGAAAACGTAGGCACCGACGCCGCAGGTGATCACGAAAGTCGACCTTTTCTTGAACAGCAACAAATGGAGCGACATCCTGACTGAAATAGAACGACAATACTTCAGAATCTCAGAGCGACACGACGAAGACATGGAGCGAGTGTGAACTTCTTGAATAGGATCGACTCGACCCGTGAGGTTACTCATGCAAGCTATTCATTCGTTTGATACATAGAAACTACTCTGAGGGAGTGACGGAATGAAGCGAAACGCTCCGGAGGAATATGCCAGATGGAAGCCACAGGACACGATGGAACCTCCATTCCAGAGATGCTCTTCGAAGCACGTGTTCCCCGGGGTGTCCCGCGCGACTGCGGAGTCACCGAGGCCCGTCAAATCACCGGATTCATTATCGCGACCAGATTATACAGTGAGACGCTTGAGCGGAGCTCACCTTCGTGGGACTCTTCCCGATCGCAGGCAGTACAGAGCAAATGGATGTACCTGTTTTTCAGAGAACTACTGCACGGACACCAGCCGCTGCAAAGCACCGAGATTGACGACGCCAAGGAATCGGAGCTGTAACATAACGCTCATTGCATATCATCCGCGGATGATCCATCCGCCGGTGAGCCCTCCGAGGAGGGGCCTCCCGCGGAGGAGGATGATGTGGTTGATGGGGTATCAATATCAGGAGCGTCACGAACTCGTAACTCAAGCACAAAGCTGTGCCGTATTTGATTTATCGCATCGCTTCGACGATTATCCGCGACGATTGCTTGATCTGGGAAATGAATAATTTTAGTTAATTGTGAGACGTCTCGCCAGACGTCTGGGCAGTGCATCTTCCACGGGATGCGCTCGAAGCGTCATCTCAAGTCGCTAATTATGAAGAACCCTTACCGAGCCGCCGCAAGCTGCTCTCCATTACATAGCGCAGTCCGAGCGAACACGAGAAAGTTCCCGTACTAAATATCTCGCCGGCCGGGCGAGTCTCGAGATCCGGCTGGTAAGCCATTATTTGAATATCGATGGAAAAGTCATGCCGCACTTGGTGGTTCTCATCGCTGCGACGAAGGGAGGACTCCGCAGGGAAGACCATCCTTGATGTAGGCGGCTGCAGGATTCGAACCCACGACCTCCTGCTCGAATAGTGTCATAGCGAGATGCCCGTCTAGCACTGAGACGTACCAGGCGCGCTAATCGCTCGACTATCCGTCAGTGAGATCCGTCTCAATTCCGAGACGTTCTCCCTGGTTTCCTGGAGAAGACCTGACCGATGCACCGGACATGACCGTAGAACACCTCATGGCGCTGTCTTACAGTCGAGCGATTTTTCTCTACGCTCTGAGTGCTATCGAGGGTCAAGAGAGCTTCCTTCTGATTCGGAGACCTCAAAAATTACGTCATAGTAGCATGTACCTGATCAGAAGCAGGTCGTTTGACAGTAATGCACCAATCATCAACCTGCATTTTCATGCATATCAATCCTCATTTTTCCTGCATACTGCATGCATATTCCTTATTTTTTTCGTGCATGAAACAGATTGCCCTACTCATTATACAATTAGCCTATTTCGAAAGAGATCAGAGATTCAGAAGAAGTGTCGAGTGGCATTTAGGGACATTTTTCATGCTCGGAAGCGGTATCCGTGGCGATAGCGAGACAGTCGCAGCAGCGGCGAAGCCAGGGATAGGGCGAGCCAAGGCACTCGACCTGGGGGCGCAGGTTGCCAGGAGCGCTATTTTCCACTTCGGCTCTCCGATAAACCGGCGATTTCCCTAGGAAATTCCGATACGAAATATCGTTTCAAGAGCGAGACTTGGTCCTTGGTGATGTCTCAAGACGGCCTAGTCACCCCTGAGAGAAGCTCTCCGTCCAGGGACTCCCACTTCCGCTTTGAAAAATTTCATCGAGGCATTGTGGTGCATCCTCGGCAACGCAAGCTTCAGACGCAGCGATGGATTGCTTAAGATCGATGCCTCGTACGACATCAGAGTGCTTAGGTGCTTATCAGTGCTTAGAGTGCTTAATAGTGTTTCTCAGGCCGGAGGGATCTCAAGAATTGACTCCCCCACGACTGTCGAGAGGCATGCTCCTGAAAACACTTGGAAGCACTCATCGATCGATCGTTCAGTGCCATATCGGTCGTGACCGTCTAGCTTTCTCAGAAATCGTTTCACATACGCAAGACTCCGAGCGATCGTCTTGGAGACGGACTCGTTTCTGGGTTCGGAGTCCGAGTTTGACATGCCACCGTCGCCGTTCGTCATGACGCGTCGATTTTCCCCGACAAAGCGTACAGTGTATTCCAGCGAGCGGAAACAATAGGTCGAGCGACGTGAACTTTCGGCGCGCGATTAGCCCTGGGAACATATCAACAAAGGCGGAGAATTCGAACGCTTGGTAGGGGTCAACGGAATCTCCGTTCGAAAATGCCCCCCGGACCTTCAAGCGAGAACGCTCCCGCTGCCGAAGCAGGTAATCGATTTTCTCAGACCTCTCATATAGCCAAGACTCCCCCCCTCCCCCCAATTTCCTCGGGAATATTGTTCAAGGAGCCTCATTCCCGAATTGGATATCATGTGTCTATAGCCAACCGATTCCGCGATTTCTCGACAGGTCCAATGGTCGTCGAGGAAGCGATCCGCGCCGTCATGAGAGGTTTGTCACATGGGAACTCTGGTCTATATTCTCACTGAAATCCCCTGGTTCCGTCGAAGGACCTCATCGAACACTCATCAATATTCCCTATGCAGCGCTCGGGTCGAGGAACGGGGTTCTAGTCCAAGAATATCTGAGAATACTCAAGATGTCGCTCATGGATCCGGAGCAACTTCGACGAGTTCTGGATAGTGATCTACGGAGTCTTCTGCAATGGTGCCTAACCAGTCAACTGGAGGACGTCCCCCCGGAAGCGGTCGCCGTGCTAACCGAGAGTCTCGAAGCCATGAGTCATCGGGGCAAGCTCGGCAAGAATCTCGATCTGATCAAGATCCTTCTCAAGCTAATCAAACTAGACGTGGTCCTCGCGACGGTGGAACCGAATCGACTCGTTCCCGCATTCCAAGCTCTAGCCCGCTGGTGTCGACAGGGGAAAACACACGTGGAAACCTTTCTCGAAGTTTTCCCGATCGAATTTCTGGACGAGATCTATACTATAGACTTCCCCGAAGAAATTTTGACGTCCTTCATCGCACTCGTCGCCAGTATCGTTCGTGAGGGTCATGCCCCTTCTGATTCGCTGCCGCTCGTGCTGAATATCTTCGCCAGGACTCTGAGGCATCCCTTTTTCGGCAAGTCGTGCGTCGTTGCGGAACCCGTATGTCAAGCCTTGTTGGATGTGCGGAGAAAACTGCGAGACGACAACATTGTTCAAGAAGTGCTGGACGTTCGACTCGTCCTCGGTCTCGCCAGACACGTCTCATCCGCGCCAAACTGTGTGTTCCCCGAAACCAGTACGACACAGTGTCTGAGCTCGATGACGGAACTTTTCGTAGACTTCCTCGCTTCTTCGGAGGAGCACTGTCAACGTTGCGTCGATCAGGGAGTTCTCCCGGTGATCGAAACCAGCCTCGGTGTGCCTCACTCGGAAACACGTCGCATCGCGTGCATGGCACTGACCAACATTTTCGCCTACACGACCTATGGCGTGGAATACGCTCTGCATAGCAGCATCTGCAACCGTTTATTCCTCTTGCGAGAGACTCCAGATCCCCAGGTCCGAAAAGAGGTGCTCAGAGCTACTTCAAATCTTTTCGCCAAAGCGAGTTCCGCACAGATACTGTCAATGGTTCGAATGGGTTACGTGAAGCAACTTGCGGAAGTTTTGCGTTCGCCACTAGCCGATGTCATGTGTAACGGCCTCGTGTCCCTGCTCGCGGTTATTGGCGCAACTCGCTTCAGCGATCCTACGAAATTGCCCGCGCTCCATGAGCTGCTCATGAAAGGCGACGTTGGAAGGTACACCGAAGTCTTGCGCCATCACAAGATTAAAGAAATACGTTTGGCTGCGACTGCTGTGCAGAACTTCATTTCGGGACACCCGAAAGAGGAACCGCAGGAGAGCGGGTCTGGCCCTGGATGCTCAGAGAATCTCATCGATCCCGAGGTAGCGTCGATTATTAGCATGCCGTGGTGAACCAGGCGCGTATCCGTTCAAACAACCGGATATACCATGTAGAGTCTCAATTTTAGAAGATCGCTTCGTGCCTGGACTCGAGCGAATCGCGGATCGCAGCATCCGGACGCTCATCGATATGGGTTGATAAAGGAGATTGAATTTTATATCGTCTGGCGTTTCATGATCCGTCCGTGGACAAAGGTCCGTGCTCCGACGAGTGCTCGATCCTTGATCACGATTGCCTCCTCAATCAATGTGCGAATTCAAACAAATGTTCCAACTCCCGTGGAGATTAATTATTCGGATTAGAAAATCTCCTACATTGGATTAGAAAATCTCCCTTGTGCGGCCTAAAGTGGGTCTTGTAGCGTCGCCGGCAGGGCTCGCTCCGCTCTGATTGAAAGTTACCCGCCACAGCATGAAGTTCCATCACGAAACCCGAGCTTGCTGGTCACTGTGAGTCTAGGCGATGCCGTTTCTCTGACCGATGGGCGGGAACAGTCACGAGCAGTCCCCGACGAAGTACTCGACCAGGAGGAGGAGGAGTCACAACAGGTAATGTGGTCCATGATCTCTAGCGTCATTTCTCAATCAGGGATGGCGGTCCGGAGGGGCGGCTCATTTACGTACCTAGTTCGCATGTGCGCCTGATCTCCCGACTCGTATTTTTATTTCGGAAGCCAACATAACGATTTGCCCGCATTATTTGAGCATCCGAGGCGGAGCTCGGATGCCTAAATAATTTTCCTGAATTGCGTGTCCGAATCCTTTCGCAGTCGCCGGTTCCGGCACCGTAGGAGAGCATTGCAGGCCATGTGGAGCAACATGAGAAAAGAAAGGCTCACAGCAAAGTATGCCGTCAGCGCTGGGGCGCTCAGACGCCTCAGCAAGGGGTAAACCCAAACTCCCTTTAAGATTCCGAGGTACAGGACCCAGACCTGATAAACGGCGAGCCAGGCCAGGGCTCCGACGAGTCCTCCGAACTTCGACGGCACCTTGGGTTTGTGCAGAAAAGCTTCGCCTATAGCGGTCACCGTGATCAGAGTGTGCTGCAATAAAGGACAAGGCGTTCAGCTAGGCGGGAGTCGGAGATTGATGAGAAAATACCGCACGAGCTTTCGATATTTCGCTCGATAGTAGCAATGATGTTCCTCGTGGAAAGCTGTAGCAAACTCACCGAGCAGTGGTTGAGCCAATCGGGGTATAGATGCCCCAATCTCTTGGGGAAGATTAGCTCTCGATCGTACGCGTAGAGCGCCCAAAATGTGGTCGTGACGAAAATACACGAAGGGAGGGACACCGAGCAGAAGATGTAGTCACGGAGTCCTCTCAAGCATTTCAGTGGCACGAGAGTGGCTGCGAGACAGAGCCCGAAGTAGAAAACGCACAGGCACTGAAAACCGAAAGATGAGAGGAGAAAGAGTCGGGACCGGGGGTCGCCGAGATTTTCAGACTTCGGGGTCTAGTCCGGAAGAAAGTGCTCATGTTGCCGTGACATGCCTTCGGTATAGAGCCCCCCGCACCGGAGGAGCTTGTGAGTCGTGAGGGGCTTATGAACGAGCTGCTCTCGAAACTTACGAGGTTCCAATGCGTGAGGTACTTTGCTTTCCCCGCGTACGCAAGATCCGGCTCGTCCTTTGGAGTCTCGACATGGTACATCGTATAGTAAGCGCTGTAGGCATAGACGGTGAACGCCCCTAGATATAGCAGGAAAGAAATCGCACGCGGCATCTTCAATGAGAGAGCCTCCAATCACGGACAGTAGTTTGACTGAAGAGAGCATTCACAATGAGTCAGATTCATGACTGACCAAGGAAATCCCGGCGGCGAGCTTGCAGAATATCACCCGCATCATACTACTACTGCTTGCGTCCCGTCGTCGCTCACCAGAGATCACTACGAGCCGTCACGTTTGAGCCTCTGGAGTCACACTGACACTTGTCGAGTCGAAAAGAGTTTTTCTAATGCGGGGAGCCGAGAGCAACAGAATTCCCAGGTGGATCTAGTGAATAAAGTCAAGCTCGGATAAGAGGGCTCTAATTTTCTCTAAGCGGAATTTCTCAAATCGTATGATTCTCCTATTGGATTCAAACAGTGTACATGCGGGGAATTCTCCAACAAAACAAGAATCCGATCTCGGATTCAAGGTGAGAGTCAGATGCGTCAATGTCGGATATCTCGAACCTATTCGATAAGTTCAGTCATTCCGAACATCCTTCCGGCTTAGCGGAGCTAGGAACGTGCTGACGCTAGTAATGATGAAGGAGTGGATGACGGCGCACTCCGAGTTTATAAATGGCTTTTTGTCGATTGACCCGCAATTCAGCAGCTGTTAGCCGTGAAAATGACAAACATGAGGCCGTATTTTTCGGGGATCGAAATTGGAGAAGCCCCAAATGCCATTCCTCTCGCTTTTTGCTCCAAACTCCTCGCTGGCCCAAAACTGGCCTCCCTGAGAAACATGCAGCCGACGTTGCGATCGATATCTAATCGCCAGGATTGCGATATGAGAGGATATTCCCCTTCCGAAGAGAGGACCATGTTTGCGCGAACGTCGATCCGGATGAAAAGCGGACATTAGAGGCGGATATTTCATTCCCTGATGTTTTCCGGCTCTATGAAATTAATTCGAGTTCTCCTTTTATTTTCCCGATGAGCAACGCTCGGGCTGGCGGATGAAAGCGGACAAAGAGAAAGGAGTATGGACCGGGTATGTTGGACTTTACTGGTCAGTGATCTCTCATGATCCAGGCGACTTCATTGATCGGTCGTTGTTCCGACGATCACCGAATTTCGATTCTTTTTCCGAAAGCCGCGCTGACTAGCGGCTCCGATGATCGATTGACTCTCGAGCTTCTCGAAGAGTCCGATTTTGGGTATTTCGCATTTTTTTATTGTACAATCTCCTCTCCGTCAATTATACATGCAACAAACAATAGAGAAGTCATCGCTTGGCTTCTCGTCTCTGTTTTTTACTCGGTGCCATCCCACTGTCCCATTCGGAAACTTCTTTCCTCTTCGCTGCCGCGGTGAAAGGTCTGGCTGCTCTTGAGTTATTGTAGCGATTTTTGTTTTCATTGCGGATATGCCTGGGAGCTTTTTCGCCCAGGATTCGCGGAGGATCGTTGAGACAGAACATTTTCGCCACGTGGCCCAGATGCAACTCTTTGAAAGGCGCGACCTCTCGTAGCTCCAATGGATAACTCGCTGCTGACCGGATATATGTCGAGAAGGCGTTCCGCGCGCTCTCGAGCAGTTCCGGTTCTTTTTTCACCTCAGCTTCAAAAGTCAGCTGTAGAGCCGTGCAGTAATCCTCGGCGGACCTGAGGCCAAACGAAGGGTTCTTCCTCGCGATATAATCCTTGAGCGTTTTGATGTAATTTATGACACCTCGCATTTGCATTTGTTCCGGACGAAGCTTGGCTTTCGCGAGCAAGTTCAGGTACTTTGCCTGGCAGGGCATCAGAAGCAAAACCGCGCGGCCTTCAGTGCCGATACGAGCGGTCCGTCCAACTCGATGCACGTAGTCCTGCACACCAAGCGGCAGAGAGAACTGAACAATGAGATCGACTCTTGGCAGGTCCAGACCGCGGCTGGCTACGTCGGTCGTGAACAGCACTCCGGATTCCCTTCCCCGGAACTGGGTGAAAACCTCCGTGCGGTCGTGTTGAGACATGGTCCCGTGAAGTCGATAGAAATTAACTTTGTACCCAGAATCTAGCAGTGCCTCTGCCATAATTCCAGAGAAGAGATTAAGGTAGAAATCCACGACGCCTTGAGTTGGGAGGAAAACCACGATTTTGTCTTTTTGGATAGCTCCCCGGACGATGAGGCTGGAGAGGGCGACCAGATACAATTTAGTGGGACACACCATGAAAGTCTGTTCTAAACTCTCAGGCAGCACGAAGTCGTCGAGAGCTCCTTGACAATCCTGCGTCGCATCGACGACGACCGGCTCGTTGAGCGAGAGTCCGGCGAGTTTCTCCACACCAGGGGTCAGGGTAGCGGACAATAAGATGGCATTAGACGCTTTTCCCGCGCGTTCTTTCCTCCAGGACTCGATAATTCTGGATATGCTCTGCTCGAATCCCATCTCAAGCATCCTGTCCGCTTCATCGATTACTAACCAGTCCGCGGTGCCGAAACTGAAGGACGATGTGTGATCCAGGTGGTCGATCAATCTTCCGGGAGTTCCGACCATGACAACGATCCCCTTACGGAGTCGAGCTTTTTCGGATTTTTTCTTCTCCCCGCCCATCAGGACTCCGGGCACGATGTACTGGCACGCTTTCGAGAGCAGCTCAAGACACTGATATGTTTGGAGCGCTAGTTCTCGCGTTGGCGTGATGATGACGACTCTCGTTCCATCCTCTCTTTTGATTTTGGGGGTTTCGTTCATCAGCAGGTGGAGGATTGGGAGGGCGTAGGCGAGCGTTTTGCCTGATCCCGTAGGCGATTTTATAAGGACATCTTTCCGCTTGAGGATGTGTCCAACGCTCATTTTCTGAATCACCGTCGCTTTGTTGATCTTCATTCGATCTCGCAGACATGCCACGAGATGGGGATGGATCTCGAGTTCGCTGAAACCATCCTCGGTGAAGAGTTGGATCTCCGCGCGAACTCCGATCTCATCGGATGTAGGCGCCGGGGGCAGCTCAACGTCGACGTGGAACTTATCAACCTTGGGTGTGGGCTTCTCGAACTTCTTATTTATTGCGGATATTCCTCGCTCGTAGAGAACTTCGCTCAGACTCTTCTTCTGAACGGCTGATCTCTTGGTCGATTTCTTCGACGGTTCCACTGGCGCGAGCTTCTCACTCTCTTTCTCAGGAGAGAATATCCGATCGGATTGATCCGACTCGGAATCGGCACCTATGGCGTGGTGTTTGTCCTGGCCGTTTTCGCACTCATCGCGGAGGAGAGCGTCGATGTCAATCGGTTTTGCATCGTCGGAGCAAATGTTCAGCACGAGTCCACCGTCCTCCATCTTTCTGGAAATGGAACCGACCCAAAAGAATTAAGCTTCTTTCGGGGAGCTGCATGAACATTCAGGCAAGGATGACTTTCCAAGAGCTGCTTGAACTGCTGTCCAGATATTGAATGACAATTCAACAAGTCCCAATAGGAAAGTCAACCTTCAACATGAGAGACTGACCTAAGGAAGTCTGATCCATTGCACTGGAATTTCTCACCTCTAGCTCTGGAGGCCGGGGAGCAGTCCTGAGAACGGAATCCGATGCTTGATCTAAGGATATTGGTTCATTTGTGGTTTTGAGCTGAAGTTTCACGATTCGAACACAGAGAAGCACGTTGTTCTATTTTGATCTAGATGCCCCTGCTCGTGCACCTGGACGCAGTTCTGCATGTAGTCGGCCGTGGCGCGGATAGAACCGCTCTTCATCCTGGGAGTCCCAAGATGATGATTCTCGTGAATCTGTCTGTAGGGAGGCGGCGTTCTGATGAATGAGGTGTATGAATCTTCTCTTAGCGAGTTTCTCGTGGGAGTCTCTCGGAAGCAGACCAGAGGGACGTTGTCCTACGCACAGGCATTTCATGATTGAAGGTATCTCCCTCGGCCCTGTGAAATCCCAGTCGGCTCTCTTCGTTGAGGTCGAGGCCCTCGGCTTCCGCGAGGTTGATTTTTATATAGTCAGGCTTTCGCCCTAAAATGAGGGGACTGCAACATGGAACAGCATTCTCTCCAGACGCGAGACGCGAATTCTGGCGTCAAGCAGTGGTCTCTGATCGTTCCCCCAAGTCGGCTCCGGACTTTATTAAAATATATCTTTGGAACCCCCCTCAAAGCGCCCCCGTTGCTAGTATCCTTCCATCTTGTCTGTCTCGATCAGGATCACACTCAGACGATGCCCGCGTCCTTCGCCATAGAATAGAAGACGGAGTTCCTAGAGCCGAGCAACTCCTTCGGTGAGCCTTGCTCCACGATCTCACCACCCGAGAGAACAACGATCCTGCAATACAATCGTCACGGTAGCAGGTACTTGCCGGTCGCGCCTCCTTTAGGGATCCTCTCCTAGAAAAATAATTTCCCTGGAATTCCATCAGACTCACTTATCGTAATTGAGAACTGTTTCAAGTCGGTGAGCAACGGTGATCACAGTGGAGAACTGGAAATCTCTCCGGATAGTTTCTTGAACCAGTTTGTCGGTTTCGTGGTCTACTGCGGCAGTGGCCTCGTCGAGAACGATTATCTTCGAACTTCGGAGAAGAGCTCTCGCCAGCGACACGAGCTGACGTTCGCCGACGGAAATGTTCTCTCCACCTAGAGAACGCAGCTTTAGAGCTAGAGCTCTTCGACCCAGCCGGAATCGAACGACTAAATAACCCCGCGCTCAGAATCAATCGGTAGGAGTTGCAACTCGGATATCTGTATGATCTCTCTCACCATCAGCGATAGTCATCTTGAGACTGAACTGCGATTTCTTGAGGTGAGCTCTCTCGATCGCGGACCAGATCTCCTCATCGGAATAAATTCCGTGAGGGTCGAGGTTTTCCCTCAAGGTTCCGCGGAAGAGGACGGGGTCTTGAGGAATGATGGTGAGTCGTTTCCGAAGATCGTGCAATCCTATGCTGTAAGATGACGGTATCGAAATATTTCTTAGCTCCCCGGAATTCCGGCCCCGCAACGGAGAATTCGCTCCGAGGAGGGATCGTTCGAATTATCGCGGAGGGTTCCACGCACCCGGAAACATCAAGACCATCGACGAAGATGGTCCCGCTCGTAGCTTCAATTGCTCGGAACAGGGCCAAGGTTAACGAGGTTTTTCCCGCTCCTGTCCGCCCGACGACACCGACTTTCTCTCCCGCTTCGATCTCGACGTTGATCCGGCTCAGTACCGGATTTTCACCCGGTCTGGAGTAATGGAAAACAAGCCTGATAATGAGAATTCCGCGAGCGACGAGGATGACATCATGCCCAAGAAAATCCATACGCACCCGTACGATGTCGAATAGTCTCGGAATCTCACGGAGCCGCTCAACGGCCAAAGGGGATCGACGGTGTTCTCAATGATCCAAGGTTTCTCGCTGGGGATCTTCGAGTACTGATCGAGTCTCTCTGCCGAAACGAGCGTATTCTCGACCCACGACGACAGACGGAAAACCCAATTCAGTCTGTCAATGGCCTGCAAGTCGGAGCGCGGAACTTCAGAAGCGTTGCTTGAAATTCGTCGCAGAATCGATCAACGAGCGGCCCACCGAGGGTTCTCTTCTCCGCTGTCGATCCCCGTTGCGAGGTTCACGGGTCTCCATTTGATTATCCTCTAATACTCTAATCAGAAACTGACCATCAGGCTCAAACTCAGGAGGAGTCCTGCGAGACCTTCATTGAATTGCTCGCGATGAAAAATGATGATCAGACTCAACGAGAAAACGATGAGGCTGCTGAGAAGCTGAGTTCGAAGAGCGATCCATCTATCGATGAAACGTTTCGTTAGTCCACTCTCTTGTGGCTTGATTTGACCCTCAGTTGGAGAAGGTGCGTTCTGGAGGAATTGAGGAAGGTACGTACGCGCCAGAGGCCCTCGTATGCAGAATGAAGTTTTGGCTTGTGTCCAAACGATCCAGGAACTTTTTCGTGACCTTCTGCTCTGCATGGAAGGCTCTGATGCTCGCCGAACCTGAGACTGTCTCAGAGAAATGGCTGAGAACTGGCGATCGTGTCACCGATGCCAGCCGTTGGAGTTGCCTCGCGTTCCGCTGATAGATTGTCTGGTGGGGGGGGAAGGGTGGAATTCTCTCATATCTCCCAAAATCGTTGGTCTCCCAGAGTGGCCGAGAATTCCTGAGCATCAGTCGTCAGTAAACAATTTGACTCGTCTCGGGAGAGTCCCGCACTCACCAAGAGGAGCACGAAGAGGCACGCGCACGGAACAATGACCGAGAGCAGAAGAGGGACTTCGTAGGCGATAACCACCAGCACGCTGAAAATGGACAGGACACAGCACAGCCACCCGTCTAAATTCAGGAAGAACTCCTGATCTAGAGCGTCCACGTCTTTGCTCATTCGATTGATGTTCCGGCCCGACGGAGTCTTGTCGAAAAACTGCAGCGGAGCTCTCATTATGGCGTCGAGAACCGATTGATGTAGACTCGTCGATGTTTTCAGAATCCCGATCGCCAGACACAAGCAACCGACAACTAGTCCTGTCATCTGGATGCTCCCGATGAAAACGAACATGTTTATTCTGTCTATCGGTGTCACGGATTCAGCCGAGAAATCCGCCGAAACTTTGACGAAGTCTTGTCCGATTCTCTCGATCAGAGAGGAGTTCTCTCTGAGGTCGTCTTGGGTAGCGTGCATGGTGTCGTTAAGCGCCGTCATTAGATCGTCGTCTTGATGTTTCGCGTCGGTGCTCCAGGTCTTCAACCAGAACATGCTCCAGACCTTGAAACGAAAGCATCAAAATCACCTAACGAAGCTGCTCTAAAGGGTGACTCCTCGATCGATCTTCATCATTTCGTCAAGAAAAGGGGAAAATGAAAAATCCGAAGCTTCCTCGTGACTGACCATTCCGATTTCGTGGAGGCCGTATCCGAGGAGACAGATCCCCGCATAGAAGAGACCGAATTTTTTCACCATCATCAGATAGACGCGCCAGCTCACTGCACCGACCGACATCTCTTCTTCATTCTGTGGAACTTTCGATCCATGGGAGTTCAGAATGATCTTTTGTTCCTCCTCGGGTTCATCCGCAGTCCTCGTGTCATTTTCTCCTTCCGACTCTCCGAGTATCGTTTTCATCGAAACATCCTCCTTGATGAGGTCGTTATACGTTCCGACGAAGTCGATCTTCCCCTCCTTCAGCAGTACGATCCTGTCGCAAAGAGGGAGGACCGCTTGCGAATGGGTCACTAGAATACGGGTGGTGTCCTTCAGCAAGCCCTGGGGGCCGATGACGTCATTGAAGAGGTCTTGGAGCACGTGGGAGTCGACAGAGCTGAGAGGATCATCCAGTAGATACAGTTGAGCTTTCTGGAAGACTGCGCGCGCCAAGCTGACGCGTTGTTTCTGTCCACCCGACAGATTGATCCCCTTCTCGCCTATCTCGGTGTCGTCGTTGTGCTCGAGCATTTGGAAATCCGGGAGCAGGCAGCATCTGTCGACTACTTCCCGGTACCAACTTTCGTCGGGGTCCGATGTGAAGACGATGTTGTTCCGTATGGAATCGTTGAGAATCCAAGCTCGTTGCGGCACGTACGCCATCGTAGAAGCCTGAGGAGAACGGGGAGGATATATATCGCAGTTGAGAGAATCTGTCTTATTTCCGATTGGTCGAAGGACACGCGAAATTTCGCGGCTCTCACTTTGTCTTTGTGGACATGTCCCGTAATCTTCTTCATGCTTCCGAGGATGGCTTCCATGAGCGAGGATTTCCCTGAACCGACAGGACCGATGATGGCTATCAATTCTCCTTTTCGAACCTTGAGGTCGAGCTTGTCTAAAACAATCGACGATTCCCAAGCGAAAGATGCTTTCTCAAAGACGACGACTTCCCCTGGAGGAAGGAAAGAACTTCCATTAGAGCGACGGAAGATTGCTGCTCCGGCAGCATCTCTTCGCAGCGGCGCATTACTTTCGAAATACGAAAAGTGAATGCCCTACCTTCTCCGACCGCATGAGTCACGTCATCGAGGTCGAGCTCGTCCGCTTGCAGGAAGTTCTGGATCCGTCGGAGCGAAACCTTGCATCTGGTGAATGTGGCGATCATCGTCGGGACGAATGTCAAAGTGAAACTCATCGAATTGAATAATGTCATTGACACGAAAACTCGTTTCGGAGTCAGAACGTTCTCGTCATCGAGTAAGACGAAGCAACCGAAGGACGCCAACGAGATCTGCGGACACAGACATGACGTATTATTGGGCTTTCAATAATTAATATTATCAATGTTTGTTCCTCCATTCTAAATTTAGGCGGAGCGGAAGTTCATCTGTTGGATTCTCCTTTCGTGCAATGTCATGGCAGTATTCAACCCGGTGCTCGAAGAAAAACAGCTCACAATCAGTGGAAAGCTGCTCGGAGTGTCTCAATTTTTTGCTCGGAATGACCCCGCTTTTTCTGTTGCTGGTCACAGACCATCGACCCGTAAGGAAATATAAATAAACGCGTTGTCGAGCCAACGATACACAGACGACAATGAGGACAGAACAAATGTCGAGAATACTGGCGTTTCTCGTGCTGTTGAGCGCTCTCTCGACCGTCTGTTTCGCGAGTAACGGACAGCACTCGACGTACGACCACGGCTATGATCCGCACTCCGGCCATCACTACGGACACCATGCGCGATACCATGGCCATTACCATCCTTCTCACAGCGGACACTACACCAAATATCATCACCATCATCATCCCCACGGAAAATACGGCTACGAAGCTCACTATTGATGCCGAGAGTCGACGAACCGGCAACAGAGTCGGGCGGACGAGCAAGCAGTTCTTCATTCGAGATAGGTCTGGGAAAAGATAATCTCCCCAATTCCCCGAATATCTCTCTTAATATGAGTCTCTGGGATAAAATGGTGTGAGTCCGGGGGGAATTCCGCTCCCCGAGTCCGTCGAACAGCGGACCGATAAGCTGTGCCTATGGGGGAAAATAAAACCAGACGATAGAAAGCTCTCCGGCTCCGATGCTATGCTTACCAACAGGGGGACGCTCGACCAGATGAGTGAAAGAGCAGCTTGGTAGAGAAGGAACTTCTTGATGTAACCAACCTCTTGCTGCCGCACATCTTCGACTTTCTTAGCGAATGCTTTCTCCCATGCGTAGAGTTTAATGAACTGGAAACGAATACGATGTTGGAACAATCTACGGACTTCGGGGCGATGAAAGTCCAGTGTCGAGTCCAGGCATAGTATGGCTTGAATGAACCTACCCTTATGCCGCTGAGGATTTCCGTCAGGATGGATATCCTGCGCCCTTTCTCTTTCATTTGTTTGTTCTGGAAGGCAAGATAATATATGAATAGTCCCTGTGAGGACTATACATTCCAATATGTACAAGTACTTTATTGCCAAATGTTCATATTCTTGTAGTTTTTTCGTCAGCTCCCGACCGACGATACAATAGGGGGCTCAGCCCGCGTACCTGAACATTGGAGTTCTTGTGACCGATTATCGCTGACAGAGGCATTTGGGCGAGCATGACTGCAACTCCGGCCAAGCTCGATACTCCCAGCTGCATCCAGAGCAGCGCCAATGTTCCCGCGAGTCTGACCATCCACGCCCACAGAAGATGCCATTCCCCGACGAAACGGAACACGTTCTCCACGTCAAGAGACATCATATTCATGAGTTCGCCGACGGGATAGGCCCGTTGAGAATCCATTGAGATCAATAGCGACTGTGAACGATGGATACCCCCCACTCAAGATCTTCAATTAGAATCTTCCCGAAACGAAATCGAGGCAGCATTCTGCATGAACATTTTTCGGTATGTCAATGCGGTCCAACCTTTTGGTATACAGCGGACATGAGCGCTGCCCGCGCCTGCAGACCACCCATACAATTCGAGAACAAGAGGTGTTCAAGAGCAACCCACGTAGAGAGACTCGCGATGAATAAGGCCAGGCAGTACCCAAATCCGATTTCGAAAGGTCGTGCGGATGAGACTTCGTCGATCAGAGCCCTGGAATAATTACGATTGAGATCCTTAAAGGGTCCTAAGTTCTGATTGTTGTGATTGATAGTAATGATTCCCCCAAGAATCCCTTAGCGTTGAACTTCAACTCTTGAACTTACCCGAGCATGAGCGGAGTCATCAATTTCCCCATGATGATGAAAAACTCATAACAGAAGCCTCGTAAGATGACAGGCCAGAATGATCTAAACAGCGCAGCCCATATCGTGTTTTTCGACGTAGTCGTAGTGGTCGGCGCATAGGGAGTTTTCGGGAATAGATCCTCGGTCGGCACAGCCTCGAAACCCCGCTTCCTGAAATATAAAATTTCCTCAGGCTCTAGGGAATGATCAGTTGTTCCTTCTCCGCCAGCGACGCTCGCGGCGGGGCAATCTGGAGGATGCCGTCCTGGGAGGAACCCCGCTCATTCATTTACGAGCGAGATGGGCAGGAGGCTGAGAATTCCTCTCTGGCAGAGACTCTCGAACTCTCGTTCGAGGGAAAACCCTGCGCCCTTTTTTCCCAATCTATCCCAGAGAAAATCTGCTTCCATCACCGGAGAAGTTCCGATTGTGGGCGAAAATGACACAAGGGACTCATGAATTAGAGCGGAAGAACAGAGTTTTATCAGAGGGAAAAATTACGTGGAGCGATCCAGGCTCGCAGATTCCATGCGGATCAACGAGCTGACTCCATAGAGCGTGGCTCCGAAACGGTGCCAGGGAAACGAAAATTTATCCGACTCGGAGCTCAATGCGGAGGAGAGAGTCCTCCGCTCCAAGCGCTCCGACATCCGATTCCAAAGCAATCAACCGCAGCGGACACAGAGCCTTCGATTGGAAACTACTAACCGCGCTCGGATCTTCTGCTCTTTCAGCCATTTCCTCTCAAATGTCTCCAGACAATGATGGGATTTGAGGCCGTCCTCGAGGGGGAACAGGTCTACTTGCGATATTTGCGTTCGGAAACCCTTGAAGATGACCCTGAGGAGGAGGAGGAGAGAATGTGCTGGCGTTAGAAGTTCGTTCGCATGCGAGATAAATAATGTGTGGATAATTTTCGTAGCAACAACTCTTCCCGCATTGTTCGTGGAGCTTATATTACACTCGATGACTCTAATCTAAAACCCGATCAGCTGCTCCGAGAAACACATGTCGGGTTTAATTCCGGTCAGTCCGCCTCCGCAGGCTCCAGGAAGCTCCGACAGAGAAACACCGACCAGCCTCCGAAACTCTCGCGAGCGATATCCCTCGAGTGAGTTACCTGCTGAATTGGCCGAGCGTGAAGCGATGCCACCATCTCAATTCGCTGCCCACAGATGTCGCGTGATTTCTGGCTCCGGAGCTGATTGGCAGAAAATTCACTTGCGCTCCTGACGCACCATTAGTGAAGTTGGCGTTCATGTTGAGACAGTAGGAAAAGCGACGTCAACAGGTTGGCACTCGATGAGCCGACACTCCGTCGCGTCGTCGTCGCCTCAGAGCTCGCGGAAGCCAGTCTCAGATTACATCGCATCCCAAGCTCCGATACTCCTTAGAGTACGAGATTCACGCTCGATTGTCACTGAATAATCGGATGCTGAAACGAAAATCTCTGAAGGAGAAACTGTTGTCGGAGCGTTGGCCACAGACGGCGCCGGCAGGGAGAGGGCGACACGCGGCGAAGAAGGGCAGAATTCTCGAAGGCCCGACCATTGAGCGGTTGCTAGGTGCGCGGAGAGAGGGTCAACTTGACACAAGCCGAAGTGCTCTTGGATTTCTTTCGTTAGAGCGGGAAGCAGCACGATGTTGATTCCAACTCTTGAGCGTTTTCTCTGACGGTAGTCGATCACTTCCGTTGTCAATCTTTTATTCCGGGTGTACGATTTCAACCGCGCATACGATAACATGAAACGACTCATGACGCATAACTCGTATTCACGTCGTCCCTTGGCTTCACCACGCTCGGATTATCTGCTCGATATTCCGCAGCATCGAAGGAATTCCAGAGTCCCCCGCATCCACGGCAGGCTTCTCTAGCCTCTCGGCTCCGAAAAATTGCTGGCACCGTTATACATATGTATCTCATGGTGGCAATACCCAATTCCGTGAATCCTCCTTCAAAAGGTGCCGAGGGGAGCCCATACGGTCACGTACAGGTCACCCGACTGTGTTCTCAGACTAGTTCCAGGGCGCGGATTTTATCATCCCCAGCGTTGGACCCTATGCGTCTGCATTGATGGGTTCTTGCAGGTCAACGATGAATAATGATTGGTTGCCGAAGGAGCGCTCCCCTGTCAGATTCGACCGCGCGGTTGGAGCTGGCACAGAGATCGTGCAAGCTTCTGCCCTTTGGATCAGTTCTGCTATGCTATCTGGCACGGGCAGGCATATTTTCGGAAAGATCGCATGCTCCCTTCTCCTGTTCACTCCGTGACATGCGATACAGCTAGGCTCACGCTCGCGACCACTATCTGACGAACAGAGCCATCCACTCTTCACTTGAGGTATTTCATGGGATTGATGACAAAGAATATTTTCAAAATCTATCCGTCCGGTGAGGGGACTCGATTTGAGATCATTTATTTGGCTCAAGAATCCATCAAGCTCCCCTGCCCGCAAGCTCCGTAATGGTGACCAAATGGGTGAGAACGCTCATGCGAGAACTCCGGAGATTCGGAACGTCACGGTTCTCCTTCACGGTAGCGTGTCTCTTGGAGATATCGCAGAGGAGTCATTCTTTTTCCGATTCGTCGCTTTCGCCTACATTCCGGTAATGTCTTCGGAGCTCCATCATGTGCGCATGATTTTTCTCGCGTATATCCTCAGTGACTTTGAACATCGGACCGTGTCCTGGAACTACGTAATCTGCGATCCTCAATACCTGCGAATTACGGAGAATGATATCAGCTCCACACACCATCTAATGGAGAAAGCAGACTTGGCTCATCCGTGTCCAGGTACATTGTATATCAAGGGCGAGAGTATGTGGGGGCGGGCAGAAGTTCCCGTGCTCGTTGCACCCAGATATTCGGTTCCGATCTTGCTCTTGGCCGTCTGAGGGACATCTGCACCGGTATCTCCAAGGACCGCGAGGATGGTCATCCGCCACCGGAGAGATGACTTCGAAGACGCACCTTAACCCTATTCTCAGCTTGTTTCAATGGTTTCTCCGAACCGCCGAGCTCCTCCCAAATGGTCGGATCGGCGGAATCTTCTCTCTTTTCGAAGAGATCGCCGGTGATCGCGATAGTTCCGGATTCCGTGTTTGAAACGATGACGGATACACACGACGCCGTATGTCCGGGCGTCGGCACGATCTCGATGCCTGAAAGGTGAAATGAAGGACGGGATATCGATTTTGTTTAAGGGAACAGACGGGAGGTTCGAGGATATTCAACCAGTGATTCTCACCTTCGGCTACTCGGAGGCTACTGCCGTCCAGTAAAACGTCATAATAGTTGTCCTTGTAGTTCATCGAAGTTCCAACGACGTGTTTAGCATTTAGGAATAGGTTCAGATTCCCTATGTGGTCTGAATGCCCGTGTGTCGCCACAGCATGAGTTATCTGGAAGACGTTGACCGGTGAGTGCACCGAAACGCGTGACAGTTTGCTTTGGGCGCGCAGATCTCTCATGTGCGAAAACCGTCAATGGATGGAGTTGGGCCAGAACAAACCTCGTCAGGTGAGATCCCTCGGCTGTCGAGCGCCTCTTTGATTCTGTCTCCATCCCAAGCTGTCATTGTATCCACGATCATCTTCACGGTTTCGCCCACAACCAAGGTACAGGTGCAGTTCGAGGACATGAACTGATTGCCGGCTTCGAGTCTCGAGAAGCCGTCGAAGAGGACTTCAACTTTCACCGGTGCCATCTCGGAGCTCTCTTTATTTTGGTTCCGTTTTCCTGCGTGCGGCGCCGAAGAATAATTGGAACAGTGCACTCTGACCCATTCAGACCGCCGGTGTTCAAAATCAGCTGCTCCACTCGAACATTCGCTCACCGGCGCGAGCAACGCCGGTGTCGACATCATTGGGGAGAGAGAAATGAGATCGAATGGAAGAATGTCTCGGCTCACTCCGACGGAAGCGCTGTCGAATCTCCCGAGAGCAGAGCTTCTCTATTGGGTATTATCTCGGAGGGTCGACATGGCGCAGCTCAAGATTTTTGTGTGACGAGAAGCAACACGACTCCGCGAAAATGCGCCTAACGTGAGAATGGTCGAAATGGAGCAAGACTAACTTGGCTGTGGCGGGAGAGTCGCTTCACTCAACCTGTCCGATTTTTCTACAGAATCAGAATTCCTTGTCCCTGGCTGGACCCGACGTCTCATCTCTCCGACCTTCTCAGGCCTGTTCTGCTCATGCGCTGTCGAGTGAACAGAGAGCGTCCCAAAATAGTCTTATCGATCTCGAGCAGGTCGGCGGTCATTCGAATCATCTCCTTCCCGTCTGGGAAATCATCATCCGGGCTGGGGATTCGGAGAGAGCGGTCACCCAGAACAACGGAGACGTCGCTGACACCATCTGGCGCCTACGCCCTTTAGGATACGGAGGGATGCGTCGGAGTATCCCTCGTTCGAAATAAGGGAATTCTATCATGCCTGCTCCAAGGCTGACGTCGATAAAAACGTGCCGACGGGATCAGGTGGCCGTGTCCCGAACTCACGCTCGACCTCAGCGCCGCAACTTCCAGTGAGCATATAGGATGAGCATCGCTGGTCAAGTGGGGCCTCGCTCGTCAGATCAGCGCATCGCGAGGAGCTCGTCCTCATTCCAGATTCGTTGATCTACGTTCGTGTCGGTAGTAGTCGCCTCGGAGCCCGGCTACCGGCATCTTGTCTGAGCGTTATCATCCTACGTGATGACAAAATATGAATCCAGATGGATAAGCACGAACTCTCGAGTGCCTGGGAACTGAAGCAGAGAAATTGGACAGATGAAGGAGCGGCCCGATCGCGCTCAAAGTTTGAGCAAAGATCATCATCAGCATCAAATCGCGGCGCGGGAATCCCGGGACCCCCGGAAATCGCTCCGACCCGGAGTACCTGGCGATGAGGCATAAGCCGGAACTCGAGGCTGAGGGCCCTGGTCATCCCTGGTCCACGGGCTGTGTTCCTCACGACGGATCACCGCTCTGCTGTTCCCCCGGGGAGAGATGATGCTTACAGCCCCGAATCACCGCTATCGCGTACTAATCTCCGCCGAATAATGCTGCCTGTGACATTGATTTTTCCCAGTCGGCAGAGGTGGCTCCAGAAAGAAAGCTTTCGTGATTGCTGTCAGGAGTGGTTTCTTTTCGACTCCTCGATTGCCATTATCTTCATCGAGCTTGATATATTGACTACTCTATTGAATGCTCCGTGGGGGCTCCTTTTCCGTTCATTGTTCTGAACTTTGGATTGAGCGGGAGAGGGGTACTCGAGCGATAGCTGATGATCAGACTCCTTCCGTCTGAGGCTCATAGTCGCTAAGCACCGAACATGAGATCGGGAGGGTCAGGCCAGCTGGCGGAGATGCAGCGTTTTCTCAGGGATTTCGGGGAGAAGAAGGCTGCAGAGTCGATTGTCGGATGTTACATAATGAGAACTGCGGCAGAACGGGCCAACGGGGAAAAGAGTCTAAGGAAATGGTCTCGACTGAGGGAAAAAGGTCGTGAGCGACCGGTAGGTAGGAGCGGGTGCATGGAATGGGACTGAGCTCGTCGCAACCACCGGCGGAAGGCTCTTGTCATCTATATGAATGGACCATGACATCGATCGATCTCCCGGCTCACCGCAGCCGCGAAGCAGGGACCAGAAGATACAAAATTGAGGGGCTTTGTCCAACATCGGCGCGGGCCGGTCTCTACGAGGGCTACGACGAGTAGCAATGAGGAGAGTACAGAATTCCGAGAAGACGGAACTGGAGAATCCACATTTGGAACTCGTTCACGTACGAGAGTCGCCGGCCTAGGTTTCCAACTCCCGACGGCCTCGCCCTCAGACAGCGCCATTATTCTTCGTTTGCGCAGCATTATCCGACAACTGCATCTTCCCCCTGTGATCATCCCTCATGATGACAAATGAATAATTTCCGGTGGGAGACAATCATCGCACACGCTTGTTCTGTGTTTCTGAGAAGACGCCTTCCAGAGACGAAGGTGTCAAGATGTAGAGAGATTTCTTTTCGGTCGTTATTTGACGTCCAATCTTCTCTCGACTAGACCTACGGAGCTACAAGCTCCTCCGACCCCCCGGAAAGCAATGTATCACTGTTTCTGTTCAGAAACTGTGAGAATCTCAATTAGAGAATCAGGTGATCGATCGGTTTCTTCTGCTGCCTCAAACTCGAAAGTCTGAGGATTTCCCAATCGTAACATGGATTCGCTCTTCTTCCTTCAACGGTCACCGTAGGACTCATGACCCCACCAAGGAAGCGACGTCCATGAGCATGGTGACAAAGACTTCCACGGCGCTTCGTCGTGTGCATCGACTTCTGAACAATATAGTCTTTGTTGTTACGGTTCTAATAGCGGCATCGACAGGTCTAGAAACACTCGACCGACACTCGACAGAAACCGCATCTGTAGCTGTGATAAACCGCACGGAATCCGCTTGTTCACAGTTCACAGTCCGTTCCGCGGAACGTTGGTGTTTTCCTCCACGTGAAATGAATGAATTCCTATAGGAATTGCGTAAAGGCCCGATCCCATGAGAATTCCCGAATATGGCTTCCTTCCGAGTCGTTATCACCATGTATCACATTATCGAATACCTAATTACCTACTATGCCTGAATGACAAGGGGAACCACTAGCACAGCTGACATCCCTTTTTGTGACGCAGAAACGACGATGTCTTCAGGTGACGTTGATGGCGACAACCCCGACTGCGGTGGATGCGGCGGCGACAGCGTGCTACGCTCCGTAGACCGCGGCCTCCGAATCGCACTGTATTACATGAGCGTGGCAAGAAAAATCTGCCGGTCGTCGCTCATCGCATCCGATCCCGACCAGGTCATGGACGATGGCGCTCAAGCACCGGAAGACTTCGTGCGGGAACTCGGCGAGGACTTAGAGGACGTTCTAAGGATGCTGAAAAGCAATCGAAAACTCCTGAAATTCTTTCAAGCTGCAAACATAGAAGACTTCGTCGATGACTCGGCCTACGAAGCGATGCTCTCCGCAAGTTCCTCGCTATGTCGATCCTTGGCCCTGGTTTTCGGTAAATTGGAAATACATTTGGTGGAAATCGAGGGTCCGCGAGAGGCTCGCAGGTTCTTCATCAGAGTGAAATTCGGCGACGAGAAGCCGGAAATGAAAAGCTTGCCCCTCGTCGAGAGTTGGACAGTCGAATTCGATAATTTCGTCAACGTTCCAGTGGTCCCGATGGTCAAGTTGTACGACAGAGGGAAGCGGAGAATCGCTAGAGGTAGAATTGAAGTGCCGGAGAGAACAATCGATCTCAAAGGACCAGATGATGAGGCAGTTGTCCGACTCCATCTGAGATACACATGGACACCGAGCTTTCCTGATGATAGTCCGAAAGGCAAAAAGACAGCGGTCGAATAGCGCGTATGTTCGAACATCTACGGAGAATCACGTTTCCACTTGGCCTCTTTTCCTGCTCGGAGATGTCTGGCAGAGGACTTCGTGGTGTTCGTGGTGACCTCGGAATCCCGACTTGACTCCGATCTTCACAGAATTGGTCTCCGTGAATAAACGAATCCTTGCTTGAAAGTTATGTCCCGGAGGTGCTCAAACCGAAACCTCAGAGGAGGGTAGACCCTAGGATTCAGGGAACCAGGGACCAAGCTAGATGAGGGAATATGTGAACCGCCGTCGAGAGACAAGTCAACAAGGAATCGCGCTCTTTCGAGGTTATTGCCCCCTCGTAAAAGTGTCAATCGAAGGTGATTACTGGCAGATCGCGCGTCTTGTAGAATGGAATATACTGAGGGGAAGCTGGACTGGGACCGGTCCCCATCAGATACGTATACGGACATTCTCGGAAATTCGGGAACCTTTTTCCGAATTATTGGGCCAGAATATCGAATTCGAGATGATTGGAGTTATGCTACAATCTTGCTTAACCATTCGCTTCGTTCCTAAACGGAGCTTTGGCTAATACTCTTTGGGATGCTCATGAGAAAATCGCTACCAGAGTCCGACATTCCAGAAATTCCGATCTGATTCATCGGCTTGTACAAAGCGGGAAGAACGTTTTCGCGGATCGGCTATTCCGTTTCCGGCCTGGTAAAAGCACAATTCGAATCGAGTCTGAGTATTGACTGGGCAGGAAGGAAGTTTATGATGTTAGACACCAATAGGAGAATCGCTCCAGCATACCGATAGCTCGCCCAGTCTGGAGGTGTGTGCTTTACGCGACAGCAATTGTGAGCCTCGTTGGACCTTCTCTAATTCAGAGAGCTGTGCTCCAGAGAACCGAGCGAGACGTGCGAATCGCATAACAGGCGTCGTTATTCGCTATTGATTGCCGGAGACCAGCATCGAAGCTTCACTTGAATGAAGTTTCTCAAGAACTTGGGTAAGATTTGATATCTTGTGATTCATTTCGAAAGTCTGTCAATGACCGAAATCAGATTATGGACACCAATCACTTTGCAGTGGTGACCCTCACTTCCGGACGGAATCGTCGACTTAATCTGAGTGGCCCGTGTCGCCTTCTAATCCCGATGACCTCCTCCCCTGCTTAGCCCCTCGGAACCTGCACAAGTTTCGAATCGCAGTCTGGCTCTTTGTCCGTCAACGTAGTTCGGACTTATTCCGTCGAAGCGCATCTCGTCGGCGTACTCGGAAAGGATCCAGACGTCAACAAGGGTGAGCTCTGGAAGCGGAGCCTCCTGTGTTGGTGGTGGGCCGTCGTGAGTTGTGAGCAGACATTTGGCGCCACGTCGGATTCAAAAAAAACCCTCTCTGTTCGTCGGCGTCCGCTTTCGCCCTCACCCACTTCAGCTGATGATACATCCGAAGTCCACGAAGAAAGAATCCGCCCATCTCTGAACTGAGGCAGTAGAACAACCTCTCTTTGTGCAGATTTGTCACCGTTCGTATCGAGTTTCACTCGGATTCCTCTCTCCTGGACTCGAGTTCTGTCACGAGAACATGTCGAAGGAAAACGTCGCGGACTACACTCCGATCCCCACGTTCGAAACCCAAGAGCCGAACGGAAAGGATCCCGCCCAAGAGGAAGAGAGCCAACTCCCTGCTAGCCGACGTTTCAGACGGTAAGTTCTCCTCTGGGTGCTCTTCCATCGGAATTTCATGAATAATTTTCCTGCGAACGAATATCAGCGGAGGGAGCGTTGTCAGGCATCTGATCGAGTCCGACGGATATTTATCTAGTTTCGTCTGACATCGAATCGGTGGCAGCCGTCACAGGGAATGCGCGACCTCACGACTTCTATCGCTAATATGTGGGTGGTCAATTATTACGAGTGAGCGTATTGTTCATTGTTCCGCTAAGCACGATATTCTTGACACTTGCGGCGGTAACCCGAGGCGGAGATACGCCCAAAAATAAATCCCCTGAACCGATCCGGCTCGTTACCGAACACGAGCCGGGGAAACGACGGCGGCGATGACGACGACGAAGAAGAAGTAGGGATTTCGGTGGGAGAACGCGGTCGCCGTCGTGATCGAGTGACTCAGATGAGGATTTCTAGAAGTTGCTTTAAAATCTGTCACCAGTGAAGTTTGCAGTCGTCGTCGACGACACCACCACAACAAGCAGAGAATGAATCGCATTGATTGATGCTCTATTCGCGTGTTCCAATGTCGACGACTATCCTACCTGGGCGTTGGACAGGCAGCATCGGCGCTACGTAATAAAAAAAACGCCGGATCTCTGCTTTGCCGATTTCGCTCCGGTAATTATAGATGAACGGTGCAGACAACAGAAATCTCGATAGGCCATTATGACGCTAGAATTTGATCCTATCAGATGGGTGTTGGACGATGAATGTTGCTTGAGTGACTGTGCGACTTTGACGACGAGGCGATACGATACGTGTGAACGCACTTTCAGACGATGTTTGCCGTGCCATCGAATAAACTTCGAAAGACCGTCGCGGGCTATAATCGACCGCTGGATCGGCGATTCGTAGAACTCGATCTGTATCTCGGTATCTCGTCTACCGGTGTCCTCCCCTGATCACTGGTGTGGTTTTTCTTCTGCTCGCGTCTTGACATCAGACCTCGTGATCCTCTCTCGCGGTCTCGGGAGCTCTCTCCGAGTCAGACTGCCGGTCCACTCCCGCAGGGCAGGTGTTCCCGCAGCTTCCTGGAATCGATTGCGGTACTGATTCGAATCGGTCAGAATTTTACAAAATTCCCCTTTCCCATGATGATCGGCCTGAGGAATATTCACGAGATCCGATTGAGAAGCGCTGAGTCTCGATTACTGCTGCTAGACCCGCGGCTACTATTTCCTACTACTGACGGCAGCGGCGGCAGAAGCACAGCTATGGTCGTAGACATCGTTGTTGTTGTTGCTGTTGTTGTCGTCGTCGTTGTCGTCGTTGTTCTGCCACCAGACGCGGACCGAGCAGCGGAGCTCTGGGAAACAATGGTCATGCATTGGTGATTCCCGCTAGCTAAGGGTTGAGTGAGCCGGGACGGCGTCTTTTCGTTGCCTGTCTGGTTGGTCGTCGTCGTCGTTCATTCGTCCATCCATCCGTCCGTCCATCCGTTCGTTCATTGGTTGGCTGCTTCGTCCACCATTTGCGTTGGCTAACGTTGGTGGTGCAGTCGTTGCCGCCGCTGCTGCTGCCACTGCTCCACCGCTGGTGTCAGTCAACTCTCAAGTTTAACTTGGAGTCATGGAAGGAAAAGCAGCGCTTTTACTCCGACGCTCCGCGCCAACCGACGACCAGCCAGCCAGCTCCAGTTACTTCTTTCACTCATTTCCATTGGTCGAAGCAGCAATCTCCTCTGCTAGCGGGCGAAGCCTGCCGGCGATTCATCTCGCTCACTTAGAACTATGAGTCGCTCAGAATTTCTCCGTCTCCCATATGAAATACGCCGACTGCGATGGTGACTTTTCTCCCCGTGAGTCCCAGCGTCTGAATCGGCTCTCTTATGCATTGTTGCATGGAGATAGAAACGGTGAAAGGCTCGAACTTTATCGAGACGTCCCCGAGGCTTTTCCTCCGCGTTCCGATCGTTCCTCTCATCGTTGACACCTGTTGAACGCCGGTCCCAGCCAGAATTTTCGCGCGGGTGGAAGAACCGAATCGGACGACCGACGTCGGGGATTCATGAGCTCGTTCCGCACTCGCCGCTGCTTCGGAAGCTCAAAAAGGGACCGTGACTCAAGGATTCCCAGGACGGGGACGTGGGTCGACTTCACGCGGCTTCAGCCACGCCTCCAGAGAAAGCGTGGAGACGGAAGATCTATCTGATAACTTTCAGAAGCGAATAAGAGGGTAATGTAAAATTTGGAAAAATCGCAACGTAGTCGCATCGACTGGACGTCGTCGTCGACGGCGAAGTAGGGATAGTTCTTTCTTCCCCGCCGACTTTATCGTCTTTTCTCCATTGTGATACTCTCTAATGATTGAGCGATGGATGCATCGATCGCTCCACGATACGACCGCCGCTGAAGTTTTATGGTCGACTGCATCGCTACGGTCGGCCGGCTAGCGGCGCGGTTTCCTTATTCGTGGTGGCGTACGACACATCGCGCTGCATTTAAGGTTAAGCCGGTTATCTGTCTTCCCGGAGCCGGCGTCGACTTCTCCGTTGTTGCTGCTGCTGTTGTTGTTGTTGTTGTCAACGTAGTCGTCGTTTCGGCTGTTGGAGCGTTCCCAAATCGGACGTGGGATCCTGTGTGAACTTCAAAACACTGACTGAGCTCGTGCGCTCGTTATTCCGCCCGTTTCCCGCTTCCCTATCGGCTCGACGTTGATTCCGCGACGGAGCACAACAACGAATCGGACAAACGGACCACAACACGAACTCCGTAACGAACTCGAGTGATTGGCAGAAAAAACGAGAGTTATACGAAATAAAGAGATTCACTGTATTGACGGGCCGGCTGAGTAAGCTACGTACTTCCCGTAAGCCCGCAGACCCGCTCATGAGGGAGCGGCGACGCAAGAAAGAAGACTCACGGAGCTTCCTCGTTGACGGTCGTTCACCGAATGGCTGACGCTCAATCGGCAGCGGAATAATAACCGAACAGATTGAATGAAACAAGAGCTATGGGGCTCGCCCCAACCACCACTGTACGGGATGGAACGTTGTCGATAAGTACTTGAAAGGGATCAGTGCTATCACCGAACCGTTGTCTTTCGCTGTCGACGAGAGACTGGGAATTCACCCTAGAGAGACAAACCGAATAGGCGTTATTCGACGAGAGGACCTCGAGGATCCTCAAGGTGCTGTGTCGAGCCTCGGAGTCTCTGGTGGAAAAGCCCCTCGTAAGGGACGTAGAGCGGGAAGAAATGGCCGTAACGGAAAAATCTGGCTTGGTCAGACGAGATGTGGCCAGCTCGTCTAGATATGGTGCTATCAAGGAAAATACCAACGACCACCACAAACTCTCTGTGCATCAGCCAACGTGAGTGCTTTCGATTCAGAAGCAACTTGTGCACCAGCACTCGGAGCGAATATCGATCGCCGCTCGCAGCACGGCGACGTGCGCGCTCGCCTCAATGCTGAATCGCTTCCAACGACTCTCAGTCTATTTGTTGACGTTCCTACCTGAATCATTTTTTTTCTGGAGTCTTTTTCGATGTGATTCATCTCAATAGACGCGGGTATCCGCCCGAAAAGAAACAGGGCTCCCGTTCGCACCCGACGAGGAGTGTCGGAAATATTATATTTATACCGATCGCCAAACATCCGACGTGACGGAATCCGGTGCGTTCTGTGGGAACAAGGGAGAACTGCTCTAATTCTAAGAGGGAAAACCATGAGCGAGGGGTCTCCGAGCCGAGTCACGTGGGACTGGATTTTTCTTTCCTCCTTCGGGCTCGAGTGCGAGATTCTCACCCGGATTCTATCGAATGAGGAAAATGCGGGAGGGAAAAAAAGTTACGACCCGTAGGCAAAAAGTGAAACCATTTTCAAAGATTTTCCGTGTTCTTCCAGAACGTATTTCACCCGGCGGGACTGCATCATTGTGCTCATCGTTGTCGGCTTGGCGCTAGCGGCCATTGTCGTGTCGTTGGTGTTCGGTCTACCGGCCTTGGAGGCGAAACGGCTTGCCATGGCAAACGCGAACAGCACAGAAAGCGAGGAACTCATCAGCAACCTGACAACGACAACAATCGCCCCAAGCTCATAGCAGAACAGAGCTATTATCTATCTATGAAGTGTAACAACGCCTCGGATCCAGATAATACTATCTTTCACGAAGAATAATTCGACTCGAACTCCCATGGTTGTCGCGCTTTCGAATACGAGAAGCCCTCTTCTCCCGATAAATTCTCAGAATTTCACGCTCGCCCCGTCCGGAAGCGAGCCTCCTCATCGATCGCTAACTACAATAATAATTCTCCGACGGCGATGATAAGCTGTGACCGTAAGCTCTCGGCCGGCACGTCATCGCTCCCGATGCGACTCTCGCACCACTTTCGATTTCGAGCAACTTTCGTTTCGACAATGAGTCCATGAATCCTGTTTCACTCCCTCTGAAATTATGTTGCCGAGGGCTCGTGCGCTCTCGGACAATGATCACACGCTGCATAATAGTGTCTGAACGGCGAATGTACGACGAATGAGAATGTATGTCGCGGCTACTTGATGATGCAGAATGATGAAACGAAAGAGTTGAACTATTTTCCTATGAAGTACAAAAAACTCAGTTTTCGCTGCTGTTCACTCCAGAAATTCCTCGTGCCTTCGGAAAGCAACAAATTTAATATATTCCTGAAAATTCATAGAGAACGTATTTTCGCCTCATGCGGACTCCGTGCGGGGGTTCCGCAGCAAAGTAAACTTGGTACCTACATGTATTAGCTAATATAGAATCGGACTTTGGTTTGGAGATGGAGATAGACAATCCGAATACGTATTTTCCAATAGCGTACTTTCTACATGTTCTCGTACTCTCTGACTGAGCACACAAACACGCAAGCACGAAGACAATTGTATGACTTGTATGGAATTGAGAATAAAAAACAATTGTGCACCAAACCGATGCTGTTCCACTACTGTGGGAATTCTTCACGCGCGCCGGAACTAGTTGCTGCCTGATTATCTTGACGAGTTTTTGAATCCTCATGCACCTTATCTGGGCTCCGCTGACTGGATTCCGATTCGACAGGCACCGATAGCTAAGGTCACGGTCGGATTCCGTCTCCGACATCGTTGACGCATGAAAATCTCTTATCGGTGTTCACTATTCGGGATCTATGATCGCCGAAGCGACATTCAACTCTTCCCAAACGAATGTCGTCGCGCTCGGCGAAATCGTTGTTTCCATCCGCTCTCTCGGCATGATGTCCTCATGAAGTTGAGAACAACGGAGCATCTCAGTTATGGTGGTGAGCGCCCAAGCGACTCAGAGTTTAACGAGTGAAGATCCACCGCCTCTGATTCGATACACTCCCGAATATCTCCAAGAACTTCTGCAGCGGCTATGGGCCATAAAAACCACCAAGGAACCATTCTGCTCCATATCAGCCGACGAATGCATAAACGTGGCCGAGTACGCCTCCGAAGTGTTCGCGAGCCAAGAAACACTCGTCGAAATTCCCGTGCCGGTCACCGTATGCGGCGACACTCACGGTCAGTGGGCTGATAAGGTCGGACAAGCTGATGCTTATCGTGTCGCTCGTTCTCGTTTTTTTCGAACGTCCCTATCCATCATCTCAGATCTCCAAGCGCATCCTTTCCTCACAGGACAGTTCATGGATCTCCTCCGTATACTGACGACGGGAGGAGTTCCCCCTCAGACGACCTACGTGTTCCTTGGCGATTATGTCGATCGGGGCAAGAACTCGATCGAAGTTTTGATTGTGCTTTTCATTTACAAGATTCTCTTCCCGACGCAAATGTATATGATCCGAGGAAATCACGAGGAGGCGAGGGTCAACTCGACGTATGGTTTCCTTAGCGAGTGCATAAATAGGTAATTATTCAATTGATCAGTCAGTCAGTCCCAAATTGTTTCCTCGAACGGAAGACCTTCTCGGGTGCTGTTTTGACAGGAGTTGCCGAATTACAGATACGGTTTCGAAGTTTACACAGCTTTCAACAACAGCTTCAATAACATGCCAGTCGCGGCAATTATCGGCCAGAGGATATTCTGCTGTCACGGGGGCATCGTGAAGGATTTGGACTCGCTCCAAGCGATCGCCGACATCGCGAGACCGGTGAAGCAACCGAACGAGAACGCGATCATGAGTCAGCTTACGTGGAGCGATCCGAACCGGGATTCAGACGGATGGACTGAGAGTGCGCGCGGAGTGGGCTTCATGTTCGGGAAAACTCCAGTTGGTACTCGCTACTTCAGTCCTGAATTTTCTAGACAAGGGTGCCGCTGCCAACCAGGGGTCCCTCGCGAGACAATGAGCTGTCCCAATGAGTTATGATGAGAATATAATTTCTTCCAATTTCAGCTCTGGCAGTTTCTGGAGAAATTCGATCTTGATCTCTTGGCCAGGGCGCATGAAGTCGTACAGGACGGATACGAGTTCTTCGGAATGCGGCGTTGCGTTACAATTTTCTCAGCACCGAAATACTGCGATCAATTCGATAACGCTGGAGGCATGATGAGAGTCTCTAGCGACCTCACCTGCAGTTTCATAATAATTCGACCCATAAACTCTGAGTTCCCTCTGACTCGAGTCGAGTATCACGGTCAGTACCACGAAAGCGACGATGCTCCAGAGAAACCGAAGCGGTACCGGAGATCTGCTGCTCCCCCTCCGGCCCCCATACCGAAGTCGAAGCGTGCTTCCTTGACACGGAGGAAGGGCGGTACCTGTTGTGGTCGCGATGGACCCTGCACAATGTTATGAAGAGCCTTTGAATGATGTTATAATGTAGAAATCCCTCCGAATCGGATACTATTGTCCATGGTCATGTCATGCTTGTTGATAAAAAAACAAGTTGGGAACAGATCTGAATCTTTCGAAAATAATCTCCAGTAGTCTTCAGTCTCGAAATATGATGTAACTACACATGATGGGAAGGCACAAAGTTCCACCAGTCAAGGCTCACGGGTGTTGGATTTCGCGGAGCATGGGACGCGAGGAGCGGGTCTTTAGAAGAAATTTATGCGTCATAAATACACATGGTTCGAGGAAATGTGTCCTTCGATGGCTCAATTGGGCGGCACTATGAGCCCATGCTCTGCATGCCCGGGGTCGACCTGCCCTCAGCCCCGGAGGCGCCTGTGACTGATGGCAAGTACACCGCAGTGATCGAGACCTTCTTTCCAAGAGCTCGTAGCAATCTGATCCTACCCGAGAAAACTATCATGAAACGACAAGGTCTTCGTGCTGGAATCGCGGATGCGGGCTCCCCTGTCATCGGGTTGCCGGTTCGCGGAAATCTGTGGAACGACGGAGCGATAGCACGCGGAGAGAAATGAATCGTCACGCTGCGGGAGACGGATCTCGACACTAAGCAGCAAAGGCACCGGACTAGGCAAGAGTTGGGGTCATTTATTTTCAACTTCACAAAATAGTATATTCTCGATGATTGAGTCATATTTCACAAATTAATAATTGGAATGAAGAGATTCGGATGTGTTCCGCGCGGTTTATCGGCCGCGTTTTAACCAAACCTCGGGCATGTCGAACGTGACTCCCTACGCGATGACTTCTAAAGTATCGTTGCTTTGGAGAGAGCTTCCGTCAGAACTCGAGTGAGATTTCGGCTTTCCCTTCTTTTTGCCTCCAGCTTTCGCCGTAGCTCCCGTGGAGGTTGATGCCTGCGGACGTGACGGCTCACTCACGACCTCCGGACCGAACTGGGTTTCCGCCGTGGCTGAGGGCCGTGCCCTGCCTCTGCACAGCAGCATCCTCCACATCGAAGCGAAGAATCTCCCCACCGAATCGAAGAATCTCCCAATCCGGGCGTATACGCTGGGGCAGCAGCTTTTTAACGTTACGCGTAAAAAGAAGAAAAAAAGCCCGCCTGCCAGACAGCAAGCGAGCGAAACCAAAAGGCAGTACCTTTCGTGGCTTTCTCCGTCTGAGAACCACGCGTTCGCGCAAACGAAGAACATGACGATATAAACACAGGTGGTGCTACAAACGATGACGCACATCCAGAATGGATCACAAAAAAGGTCACAGAATCTTCGGTAGGCACTGGTGGGCTCAACTCGACCGGGCACGGCCGGCAGGTTTAGATCGGCCATGAGTCCTTGGGGTTTTTTCCCGATGGAGGCTGGAAAGAGTGGCGATTTCAGGCACCCCTTGAAGAATCCGATAGTTTCCTATGGGAGGTTTCGCCTTCGCCACCGGGATCGTCCAAGTTCCGGAAGCGATTGCTGCATTCGGTACGAAGGCGTGTTTTTCGAGGGACGCGCAATGTCCGAAAGAGTGTATGCGTCGCCTGATTGAGTCGACGCGTCAACGTCGCCACGAGGCAATCGCGATGAGCTCTCCGACACAAAATGAGAGGAGCCGGCATTTTCTTCAGAAAATGAAGGAGGCGGCGGAGTGCGAAGTCCCATGGCGAAAAAGGGACATCACAACCAGGGCCAGCACACACAGAGCTTGCGTGTGATCATCGAGCTCCGCGTCCAGACCGTCTCGTCGGGGAGCGATTCTCCATCTTCGAGTGTAAAACAGCCCAAGCATCGGAGCCCGGGTCTCTTTCCCGTCGGGATATCTCTGTCTTTTCGTTCGAGACGGAAAACCTGTGGGCTGGACGAAATTGGAGACCTCGACAGAATTTCGGGATGCCGGTGCCTAACCCAGCGACCTAAGGAAATTGAATGCTCGACTTCTCTCTGCCCCCCGTTAAGGTCAATCTTGATGCAAACGACGAAGAAATGCGTAGACTCGTGTCCTGCGGAGTTCCTGCTCGCTTGACAGCATCCATATTCGAATCTGGAGTCGGAACCCCCATAACTCGAGCCCAGGACTCGAGCGGTCAATCGATGATCGGGACGACGAGCTTCCGCATCATCCATGGAGATATTCCCCTGAGCGGTCCGAGGGAGATTCGGCCTGTCGAACGCCCTGGCTGTTCCAGCAGAAACTTGTCCTACCGAGATCATGGTTCCCTGGTTGTGGAATGTTTGAAGGGTCTTCCCAAATTTTCCGTTCGAACGAGAGCCCTGTCCACCTGCATGTAATCGGCAGGGGAAGAAGGATCTCGTGTGGCTATCCAGGAATGCATGCCAGGATTTCAGGGACGCATCCACCAACTATGTTCCCTCGGGAGATCGCATAAATGAATAGGCAAGTTGAAGAATTGAAATATCGTTCGATATATTAGTCCAGTGAAGTATCGATGAAATCGAATCATTTGCTTAAAAGTTCGTCCCTTCGACTATTTAGAACGATGGGATATCGTGGCGGAACACACAGAGCTTGATTATCTATTTGTGATTACACTCCTTCGGAACCAGAAGCGTGCTCGATGATCATCTGAGCATGTGAGGAAGGCCGGTTTCGTTGGCGAGTGACAGATATACCTGACCTTCAACTTATGTCCTAGATCCACTAGGTCTTGCCTCTGTGCATCGCGAGAATTCCATGAACACAGAGATCCTGTATTCTCGTCGGGGAAGAGAACGTAGTCCTCGGTGTGATTGAACACGGCCTGAGAGCAGAACTCTTGTTTCCCTGGCATAGAATGAATGATAAATTCGTATTCAAAGATAAAAGTTTCGACGTAAAAACGTGATCTGAACTGAGGCGTTCTCCACCATCCGGGAACTCACCCGTCGCGCCGGCTCCAGTATAGCTGATGAGGCAGCGACTAGCCGAAAGCTCCCACAGTTTCACGCTGGAATCTCTCCCGGACGAGAGCAAATACTTCCCGTTCCGAGTGAAGTACACGGAACATACCTCCGCTCCTGCGTGCGCTTCGGCGTACGTAGCGACGCATTTATTTGAGACGCCATCCCAGATTTTGATCGAGCCGTCAGTTGAGCATGACGCGTAGATTCGACCCGTCTTCGACCAGTTGACCATGTTCACGACGTCCGTGTGCTGACTGGACGGCACCGACGACACGAAACACTGCGTCGTATTCACGTCGTACAATCGCACCACGGGATGATTCGCGGCTACGAGCATATAGTCGCCTTTCGAAGGAGAATACGATCCGCTTTCCAATACG